CAAAATTAATTTTGTGTTTCCTTCTCCCTTGTTTGTGACTGTATTGGATCAACATGTGTTTACTCATTGTCATTTCAAGCTGTTGATTCCCCTGTGCATGTATAGACCACCATTTTCTTTAACGTAATTTTTGGACTTTACAAAAAAATATCTTATTTGTTAGGTAATATGGCTCTTGATTGTACATATCAGGAATCATTTAACTTTATTTGTGAGACAAAATTTTAACCAAATCCTACTGTACAGTAGTTAAAATTTTTATATGCTTCACAGTTGTCAATCCCAATTTTTAAAGATGCAAGTAACTTGTTACTTACTTGTGCCTTGTGAGGGCACATTTATAACAATGATCTCAGAGGGCTCTGGCTATGCAATTGACATGTTTTTATAAGCTTGGCCTGATAATCCACAAAATATTAAGCAATCTATGCAAGCAAATAGTTGTGAACTGCTACATTATTTGCTTTCATTCATTATTTTCTGTCTAAAGTCACTGAAGCATGAGTAGTTTCAAAGCATTGGCCAGCTTAGTGATGGCTGCAACTAAGAAACTATTGGAAAACTTTATGCGGCTTCATGTTACCTAGTGTCTTAAAAAGCTTCTAGGTGATAGATTTGCTGCATGGTATTTTTTAAAATAAAAATAAAATATTTTGTTACTTAGAAAATCTTTTTAAAATCTAGCATTTGTCAGAGCCATAGTTTCTTTGACATTGATGCAAATTGCTCTTGCCTGATGGGTTGCCATGGATCTATTAACCCTTGAATTTTGAAAGGAACTACATACCTGCATTGCCTCTGTGGCTTGGTTATCAAGTGCTTGGATCCTCATTGTCAGTCACAATTTGTTTTGATCACAATCATGTTTTGTCGCATTGCTTCAGCATTCAGTCCTCTATTTATGTATTTTATTCCTGCCCTTACTTTTCTTCTTGAAATTTCAGGCCTAACAATAATTAACGCAATACAACAAATATTTAAGATTACAAAAAAAATAAAGAAAATGCTTGGAAAGTGACAGTTGCTTGCACTTTGGCATGCTGATTTTCATGCCAATCTGAGAGGCAAACATTATGATATGTGGCCCAAAGCTTCAATCGTGAAGGATAAAATATGAAATTTGACATTCATTCATTGTTTATTGATCTCAATGAGCCATTTTCATTGTTATTTTGATCTCCTCTCCTTTGTGTCTATTTCCTTATACCAATCGATCTATCTATTCTTTGACATTCTTCTTTTTTTGGTATCCTAATGTCCTCTGGTGTGGTGTATAATTAATCAAGTTTATCATAATCCGTGGAAGCAAATTTCATGTTGAAGCAGTTTTCAACTCTTAATGCATTCTATTGTTGCTTTTTCACAAATCTGCCTCTCAATTTACTACACATTTACTTGTTAATACTCAAGCGCATACACAAGAAATATTAACAAATTCACCAACTTGAATGTGGCTATGAGCCCCCTTGCTAATCTATGCTTGATACACCAAATCTGTTTGGCACGCGAACACGCAATCTGTACGTATTGTCGTACGTACGTTTGCGCACCTGGCACGCTCTGCTCACAATCTACTAGGAGGACTACGTTGTGCTACTCCCCTTGGAGGAGGGTAGCTGCCAAGTTGGGAGTTAAGTAAGTTCAGTCAATCAAGACCTCGTCAGGATGGCCACAGAGCTTGTTGGGATTGTTGCTGCCTTCCACTTACTGTGCTGTCATACTTGCGAGATACTTGTTTCTTGTCTTCCCTCTATGTGAGACAACTGTCATTTTGTCCTCTTTGTACAAGTTTTTCTTTTACCAAGCTTCATTGGATTTGTAGAAGCTTTTATGACTTCAAGATCTCTCTATCATCAAATAGTAGCTCGTAATCATTGCTGTACTCAGCCTCTTCTCTGCTCTAACTTTTAAATTCTACACTCCAGAGTTTTTCTGTACAATTTGATTTTTGTAGTGCTCTTAGCAGAGTTGTACAAAAAGTTATCTACAATATCAGCAGTTATGTTAAGGAATACAAATTACATTGATAACAAAATAACATGGAACAGCTATAGCTTATTTTATCCGTATGCGCTGCCATCTCAGAGACTTAAAACGGGATAGGGTACCAATAATCGTGATTCTTTTCTGTGTTTTCTTTCTTAGTTTGTTTCCAAAATTGTGCCCTGTTTCACTACATTCAGTTTGGCTGGTAGATCAGAAAATTTGATTGCAGCCCACCCAAATATCTATATAGCTAGCTCATAACTATTTGTGAGAACAATGACCAGAACAGATTCCAGATGGCAGAAGTATTTATTGAGTTAACTTATCAATCACTGGCACTACACATTCGTGGCCTGTGGTATATGGGAAACTTTTTATTTTAAATTTTGAGAGTAAAAGATCTTCTGTTATTTGTAACTCCTTTGTTGTGGATTTCTTATAAAGGTACTTTCATGACATAACACTCTTCTTAGGTTTTGTTACTGCTTCAGTTACTGATGCTTGTGCTTCTGCCTTTTCAGACTGATGATGTAGGTGTTTGTTATTCTTCTCCTTAGGAAAGCCTTTTATATTAATCTATTTAGGCTTTGTTCATTGATTCGGTTCATCAGGAATGAATAGCTGGCTGATAAGCTGTAGTGAACTCTGTTGGTTGATTCTTCTTTTTTTTCCTTTTTTTTACAGCGTGTCAGAAAGAGCTGTCCTTGTAGTACTGATAGCAAAAATTGTTGATTCTTAACTCAAATTTTTTGTTTTTAAAAACATTCTCTATTTTCCAGCCAAATTATTAATGAAGAAAAAGATGCTGATGGGTCTCATATCCATGATGCTGTCAAGTAAGATTTGCACTTTTTTTGGTAGCTTAGTTTTGTTGATACTATTTGTCAACATATTCGTAATCTTAAACTGCTGTTATCAAAACCACCCTTTCTTTTTTTCTTTTTCAGTTATTCTGATGAAGTACCCCTAGTGCAATATGAGTTTCTTGATGAAAGTGAGTGTTATCTCTGTCTGAAATCACCACCGAAAGAGTTGTTAGTAATTTTTTCCTAGATAATCATTGCTGTGTATTAACTTCAGGCCCTGTTACTGCAAGTGATCTTGAATTAGATCCAGTTCATGGATTGCAGGCAGAGGACCCAGATTCTTGGACACCCACTGTTAGCAAAGAGGTTGGTGAATATTTGCGTGACCCGTGTTTGGAAGCCTCCTTTAACGAAACACACAACTATTAATCTACTGTATATTGGCCTTCCTATGAATGTTCTGAAATTGTTTCAGGTTACCAAGAAATTGAAAGAGAAGGAAGTAAAACGACAAGAACATATGTATGAATTCATCCTGACAGAAAAACACCATTGTTTAACATTACGAGTGATGCAGAAGGTGATTAATTATTCTTAGTGCTTTTAACTCTTTCAAAAATATTGTCTTATGCTTTCTAACTTCTTCAACAGGTTTTTGTTGAAGGCCTACAGAGGCATTTTCAACTGGGTCCTAATTTGGGGAGAATGTTTCCTCGACTTGCTGATCTGACAGAAATCCACCTGGAATTCCTTGCAAAACTTAGGGAAAAACAAAGAGCTTCTCCTGTCATTGATACCCTTAGTGATATATTACTTGAGCAGTTCTCTGGGGAAGGAGCAGCACGGCTAAAAGCTTGTTATGGGGAATTTTGTTCAAGACACCGTGATGCAGTCAACATGTACAAATATTACCTGCAACATGATAGAAGATTTGGGGAATTTGTTAAGCACTGTCAGGTAAGATTTAAAAAGCAACCTACTCCTACTTTTAACTTTTTACTATGTTTGCTTATCTTACATTTTATGTCTGCTGTTTTCAGGGAAACCCATTATTAAAAAAGAAGGGCATACCAGAATGTATTTTATTTGTTACTCAACGGTTGACAAAGTATCCTCTTCTCATTGAACCCTTAATTAAGACGAGTAAGGATAACAAAATAGAACAGGAAAAGCTTCTACGAGCATTGGCACTTGTAAAAGAAATACTAGTTGAAGTTGATGCTCAGGTGGCTGAAAAAGAAAAAGAAGATAGGAAACTTGAAATTTACCATAAAATTGACCCAAAATCATTTACATTACATCGAGGTCATAAATTTAAGAAGTCTGACATTCTTGCTGATAATCGTAAATTAAGGTATGCGTGTGTAGCTTCTGTCACTTTCCTTTTCCATTTACTTTGTTTGTTTGGCTCTGTTTTTATTATCTTTACCTCTCACTTTCTACTTTTTTTTCAGATTTGAAGGGGTTGCAATGCTGATGCAAGGGCGAGGAAAAATGCAAGTGGTTCTTGTTATTGTCCTGTCCGATGTACTCTTTTTCCTTTTGGAGAACAATCATAAATATTCATTCTTTACACCAGATAATAAAGTAAGTTAACTTTAAGTTTTGCCATAATCCCCAACTACCTGCTAAAATATAAAAATGTGCCAATCTTTTTTTAGGCTGGTGTGATCTCTCTTCAGAAACTGTTGGTAAGAGAAAAAGCAGGACAAGAATCTAGAGGAATCTACCTCATATCATCTAACCCAGCTGATCCAGAAATGTTTGAACTCAAAGTTCACAAGCCTAAGGACAAACAAGTTTGGATCCAGGCTGTTAGATCAGCTGTCCAGTGTTGTCCTGAAGATGAGGAAGATGGCACGACTCTTAGTCAGGAAGAAAAGCAAAAGCTTTTTGATGCAAAACAAGCTCAAATTAGACAAATTGTCGGTGAGTTAGTTTTGTATCTATTTTTTTAATCTATCTGTTCACCTATCTTTCTATCTATGCTGCATAGTGTAATAATACCTCCACATCATCAATCTTAGTAACATCTATACATTTTGGGATTACTTGAATTTGGTGCACACATCAGTACACTTAACAGCAAATCAAAAATTAACAAATTATGACTTTCCTTACCCTTAAAACTATGTACAATTATAACAGGGGCACAGTAGGTGAAACATTTCTCTTCTTCCTTTTCTGAGAGGTTTTAACAAACTTTGTTTGTTTTCCAAAGGCTCTCCCCTTGGGGAATCTGAAGTCCAAGGTACAGTAGCTCTGTGCAATAATTCAGGCATGTTAGCAATCATCAGTATAGCCGCCCTCAGATGCATGGTCAATGTGCTTGGCTATAGATTCAACTCTTTCTGTATTGCCAGAGTTCAGTGCAACATGGAAACATGCTTCCTCAGTAACTAATTGGGTGGTGTATATCCAGAACTTTCCACCTGTTCTAAGTTTAAGTGGCTTAAATTCTACAGTTGTTCTTTATCCCTAATTAAGCATGCGTATTAATGTAAATCTTTTCACGATTTGTTTTTATAAGGAGGAAGGTAATAAAAGCTCTGTCACATTTTGTAAAAAGAGGAATGCGATCTAAGCTCAGTGAATACTTAATCTGGACCTGTTGTCTATGTGTGTATCTTTTAAACATATCGAATGAGGGTGTGGATTTCCTGGACACGATCAGTTTTTCCCTTTTCATCCAAGTTTCCATCGCATGGGTCTAATCCAGCGTTTGCCATCAAAACCCATGCAAGAACCTCTTGGGAAATGTTCCAATCTGCTGTTGACTAAGGTTTTTATCTTTATATTAATATCCTTTTCTATGATTTCAGGTATTTTAAGGCAGAAAGATGTTGAACAAGCGTTGATTTTGGAGGAAAAAATGGCACTTCAACAGCAGCTGGCAGGTATCTCCTCCATCAACAATGCCGTTGATTCACCATCGTACTGTCATCTTGTCTCCGAAGACATGGACTCTGCACGCATGTGGCAAGAAGTCCTTAAAGCTTTAAGGGTTTGTGTTGAAACTTGTTTTCGTGCCTAAGCCTAGAGAAAAATTATTTGTAGGTATAACCTTAACAAAATTTGTTCTAGGAGGTCAATCAACTAGCAAGTTCTCTGTATGCTTCAGGAACTAATCTATCTCGAAGTGTTAGTTCTGTTGGGGAACATCAGAGCTCTGCTTATGTATCTCCCACTGTACCTAAACGTGCAGAGACTTTTGGAGGTTTTGACAATGCTAACAAAGAACAAGGGCCAGGGACAATTTGTAAAGGTATGTCTGTTTTAAATATCAATTCAAATTTGTGTTTCATGCCAATTGACATTTGTCATTTGATCAAAATATGATTGTAGATTTGCATGAAATGTAGAGGTTAAATAAGTATTATTAATTGCAGTTTTGAAGAAACCTCAACAAGCTCAACCACAAGTTGCTGTGCATGGACACAGCCGCGAACCATCAACTTCTTCTAGTCCAACTCTGACACCAGATTCTGAAGCTGGTCGCTCTTCAAGACCATCTTTGCACTCTGTTGTAAGCATTAACTTATGTCTTACGTAGTGTACTTGTTCATGTTGTAACCATATCTCTGTTCTAATTTTTATTTTTTCTTACATTTTTTGACGGACAGGAGGCACCTTTGAGAAGTGCTATTATGGCAACAGTTCCCTCTGGTATGCTTATTGCTTCCACTGAAGCTCTACCAACTGCTCAAATTGCTGCCCCAGCTCATGCTGAAGTTCCCAGTCTCGTCACTCTTGGTCAAGAACAACAAATGGTTGCACTGCAATTGTCACACCATGTCTATACTCTAAGTAGCATTATATCACAACAAATGACTAGTATTGACAAGTAAGAGGACTTTGCTTCCCTGCCAATTTTCTCTGACATCAATCATATGGATGAACTTATTTTGATTTTCTGTGAACTCTTACAGCCTACAGGCACAGTTGGCAGCATATCGAACCCAGTTGTCAAATGAAAGTGAAAGCAAACAAAAGCCAGCTTATAGGCAAGCCCATCAACTCGAAGAACTGCGAAATTTACAAGATCGTCTCACACAGGAAAAGGAGGTTTGGGCAAGAGAACGTGAAGAGCAGGAGAAAGAACTGAATGAACGTAAAGCTGATCTTCAGAGATTACAAGTATGTTGCTCCTTCTATGTTACTGGTTTAGTATTCTATCTCTCTCTCTCTCTCACTCTCTCTCTCTCACTCTCACTCTCACTCTCTCACTCACAAACACTCTCTCACTCACAAACTCTCTCTCACACTCTCTCACTCTCACACTCTCACACTCACTTAAGAGTGTGATAGTCACAATTGTATATTTTATTTTTCAGGATCAAGTTCGATCTGAGCAAACAGATGTGAGGCAGCAAAGAGAACAGC